TGGAGTCCATTGAACTTTATGGATTTGTAGGTTCATAGTTTTCATCACATTAGGAAAGTTGTGAGTACTGTTTGTGCAAATATCTTTTCACCCCTCTCTTCTTCCTTTAGGGATTCTGTTTATATGTATATTAAACTGCATGAGGTTGTCTCCAGCTCAGTGAAACTCTAATGGTTTTTGTTATTAGTATTTTTCTCTCTGTTTCATTTTTAGATGTTTTCTATTATTTTGTATATTTCAGTACTTCATTGCTGCCATAACAAATTACCACAAATCTAATGGTTTAAAACAGCACATCTAAATTTATTATCTTACAATTCTGTATTTCAGAAGCCTGACATAAGTCTTGCTGAACTGAAATTAAGGTGTTGGTAGGGCTGCATTCCTTCCTGGGGGCTTAGGCAAGAATCTGTTTTCTTTCTTTTTCCAGCTTCCAGAGGTTACCTGCATTCCTTGGTTTACGGCCTCCTTCATCCATTTTCAGTCAGAAACAGCATGTTGATGGCCAGGTGTGGCGGCTCATGCCTATAATCTCAGCACTTTGGGAGGCTGAGGCAGGAGGATCACCTGAGGTCAGGAGTTCAAGACCAGCCTTGCCAACATGGTGAAACTCTGCCTCTACAAAAATAAAAAATAAAAAAATTATCCAGGCATGGTGACATGCATCTGTGGTTCCAGCTGCCTGTGGTGGGCTGAGATGGGAGGATTGCATGAGCCCAAGAGTTTGATGTTGCAGTGAGCCATGACCACACCACTGTGCACTCCAGCCTAAGTGACAGAGAGAGACCCTGAGACCCCGTCTCAAAAAAGAAAGAAACAGCATGTTGAGTCCTCTGCACCTTGCATCTCTCTGATCCTCTCTTCTACTTCTTGTTTTTTCCACTTTTAAGGATTTATGTTATTAGATTGAGCTCACCTGGATAATCCAAGCCAAATACCCCACCTGAAGGCCAGCTAATTAGCAACATTATTTACATCTGCAACCATAGTTCTCTTTTTGCCATGTAAAAGAACATATTCACAGGTTCTGGGGATAGGACGTAGGCCTCTTTAAGAAGGGTATTATTCTGCATACCGCAATATGTCAAGTTTGCTAATCTTTTTTCTGCAGTGTCTAGTTTGTCAGTAATTCTCTCTAGTGTGTTTTTCATCTCAGAAAATTTATCTCTAGAAATTCATTTTGGGTCTTTTTATATCTTCCACATCTCTACTTAACACCTGTTAGTAGTACTGACATTCACTATTGAATGTTCTCCCCACAAGATTCATACGTTGAAGCCCTAATCCTCACTGTGATGGTATTTGGAGGTAGGTTTGAGAAGTAATTAGGTTTAGATTAGGTCATGAGGGTGGGAGTACCTATGATGGGGCTAGTGTCCTTTTAAGAAGAGGAAAGGAGACCATGGCTTTGCTCTTTCTCTGACATATGAGGATATAGTGAGAAGGTGGCTATCTGCAAGGCAAGAAGAAAGCCTTTACCAGAAATTGAATCTGCCAGTACCTTGATCTTGGATTTCCCAGCTCTGGAATTATGAGAAACAAAAATCTGTTGTTTCAGCCATCCAGTCTCTGGTATTTTGTGTGGCAACTGGAGGTAAGACAACACCTTTAATCTATTTTTTGGACACATGGAATACAGTTGTAATGACTACTTTAATTTACTTTTCTAATAATACTAACGTTTGTGTCAGCTCTGGGGTAGTTTCATTAGATTGAGTTCTCTTGTCATGATGAATTGTATTTTCCTGCTTCTTTGCTGGTATTTTTTGATTGGGTGCAAGATGTTGTGAATTTTACCTTGTTGTGTGCATGGTAATTTTATATTTCTAAAAATATTCTTGAGCTTTGTTCTGGTACATAGTTAATTTACTTTAAAACAGTTTGATTGTTTTAGGGCTGATTCTTCAGATTTTCTAGGCAGAACCAGAGTCACTTTAATCTAGGGCTCATTATTTCTCACTGCTGAGGCTGTACCCTTCTCAATACTCTACTTAGTGCCTGTGGATTATAAGGTTTTCCAGCCTGGTTGATGGGAATAGACACTATTTTTGACCTTGCGGGTTCTTTCTCTGGCCTTGGGTAGTTATCTCACACATATAATCTGATCAGCACTCCACTGAATACTTGACGGAAACCCTTTGCAGATCTCTGGAGTTCTGTTTGTGCCACTGCTTTCTCTCTGGTACTCTGTCTATAAAAATTGAATTATCTTGGTATGTTCTTTCTGGAAAAATTTTAAACTACTTAATGGTTAGTAAGTTAAATTTTTCTAGGAATTTGTCCATTGGCCTTTGTATTTCAAATTAGTAGGCATAAAGCTGTTCATAATATTCTCATGTCTTTTTACATCTGCTGAATCTGTTGTCAGGTTTCCTTTTTCATTCCTTATGTATTTGTGCCTCTCCTTTTATTTCTGAACCAATTCTCTTATCCATTTTTAACCCTGCTACTTCTTCAGAAACTCAAAATAGTTTGATTACTGCTATTGAAAATGCTAAATAGAAAATTAAATCCAGAGTTTAAATAGGGAAGAGAAATGCAATATTAACAAAATGACTCTGTGTTAAACATTAAAGAGAGCAGTACAGTGGCTCATGCCTGTAATCCCAGCACTTTAGGAGGATGAGGCAGGTGGATCACCTGAGGTCAAGAGTCCAAGACCAGCCTCGCCAACATGGTGAAAGCCTGCTTCTATTAAAAGTACAAAAATTAGCTGGGCGTGGTGGTGGGTGCCTGTAATTTCAGCTACTTAGGAGGCTGAGGCAGGAGAATTGCTTGAACCTGGGAGGCAGAGGTTGCAGTGAGCCGAGATCTCGCCACTGCACTCCAGCCTGGGTGACAGAGCGAGACTCCATCTCAAAAAGAAAAAAATATATAATAAATAAAGATACCCATTCTTTTCTATTCAGGAGGCCTTCAAAAATTTTGTGCATAAAAATCACTTGGAGTGCTTATTTAAAATGCAGATTACAAGGCATCCCCCTCTAGAAAGTATGCAGCAATAATAGTCCTGGCTTTGGTCCTGTAATTTGCCTTTTTAATAAGCACCCAGGTGATTCTGAAGTATGTGGCTAGAAAAGTACACTTTGAGAAACATGCTCTAACTTGTGCTACAGACAAAAGACAAAGCCTTTCAAAATCCCCCTGGTGCCTGGTCTCCAGGTTGCATCTTTCAACTTACTTCTGTAGCCTTCTCATCCACAATTCCCCTCACCTTCACCTTATCCTCAAATAAGCTCTCTGGATGAGGCTCGTACTCACTCATCTCCTGCTGAGACAACTGTTTTTTTTTTTTTTTTTTTTTTTTTGAGACAGAGTTTCACTCTTGTCGCCCAGGCTGGATTGCAATGGCGCGATCTTGGCTCACTGCAACCTCTGCCTCTGGGGTTCAGGTGATTCTCTGGCCTTAGCCTCCCAAGTAGCTGGGATTATAGGCATACACCACCACACTGGACTAATTTTTGTATTTTTAGTGGAGATGGGGTTTCACCATGTTGGCCAGGATGGTCTCGATCTCCTGACCTCAGGTGATCCACCCGCCTTGGTCTCCCAAAGTGCTGAGATTACAGGTGTGAGCCACCATGCCCTGAGACAATATTTTGCAATAATCTCTAGAACCAATTTTTAAATTTCTAGTCTAGTCAAATGCCTGAGTTTAACCTCAGGGCACTGTCCAGATTATAACAGATCTGTTATTTCCTGGACCAGTAGAAAATGGACCAAATCACCTGGATTTTTGGTTCAGACACTCACTACAAATGGAGCAGGACTTGAGAGTAGATTATAGAAGTATGTATCTTTTTAGGAGCCAGGCCTCTCTAGGGATTCTCCTATTGTAGGTAAAGAGGCTCCTCCTCAGGTAGCTGAACTTCCAGATTAGATTAGTGTGTTCGTCAGGTATGGAATAGAGACCGCGAGGCATCTGGACCTTCGTTGTGCATTCTGGTAGGCCTTCCATATGGCTCATACTGCACCAGATCTGTATGCTGTCTCACTAACCTTCTTACCTTACTGCTGTTGGCTGGTAGATTCCCTTTCTGTCAAGTCTCAGGGGAATCACTGCAGCACTGACAACTTTTTCTAGGGCATCACCAGTGAGAACATCTATGACCTTACAAAAAGTACTGTCAGATGCCACGTTCTGTTCTCCAAATACTGTGGATTTCCTCATATACAAATGAATATTCTGGTGCATACCAACTCATTTCCTTTATATGAATGCGAAGGATCTTTGTTCAAATATTAAAGGATGTTGAAGGTCTCATTGAGATTCTTTTTCTTCAAAGGATAGGAATTGTTGTAGTAGAGGGATAGGTTTGTTGAGGATATTTAGTATCTGAAGAGAGGATTAGTTGGACAGGTAAATTTTCTACTAAATTTTGCAGACTAATTATAGAATAGAATGATAAAGTATCAGCCCAGGATGGGCCCTTGAAAGTCATTTGAAGCAGTCTCCTAGTAAAAGATACAGATAAGAAAACTGAATTCCAGAAGGCTTAGGTGTTTTGTCAGAGGTCATATGGCTGTTTGGTGGCTGTACTGTAAATACTAAAATATAATTGTTCTGCAATTTTTTTAAATAATTGAGGCAGGGTCTCACTCTGTTGCCCAGGCTGGAGTGTAGTAGCGTGATCACAGCTCACTGCAGCTTCAGCCTCCTGGGCTCAAGTGATCCTCCCACCTGACCTTCCTGAGTTGCTGGGACTACAGGTGTGTGCCACCATGCCTGGCTAATTATTTTTAAAAATTTTTTGTAGAAATGGGATCTCCCTATATTGCCCAGACTGGTCTAGAACTCCTGGGCTGAAGCGATCCTCCCGCATCAGCCTTGGAGTTACAGGTATGAGCCACCATGCCCAGCCTGCAATTTGCATCTTACTAATTATGAGTCTGATAGACCAGGAGCTGACAGATTCGGTTACCAATAGCCATAGATGAATTGAAATATTTTACTAGGGTAGATTATGTCTAACTAATAAAGCTTTATCTTTGTGTTTCAGGACTAAAAACTGAAAACTGTGTTGAGAACCTAGGTAAGGTATGCTTTAAGGTCTTATCCCTACAGTAGGAATTTTATCAGTGACTTCTCATAGGTATGGGTCAGAGCCACCCCACCACTGTGCTGTCATACTGTCAGACATCATTTTCTCAAAGCTAAATTGTGCTACTGCTAGTACCTTTTCCGGTGGAGGGCCTAGGAGCCTTTGCTGCCAGCTCCCCACTGCCACCCTCATCCCCACCCACAGACTTGCCTGTGGCTCTTCTCTCAAACACTGCACTGGCCTGGGCATAAAGGGAACATACCGCTGTCATCTGAGCCTGACTTTACAGGAGTTTAAGGACTCCTTAATTCCCCTGCATCTTCAGCTATTTCCCGCTTGACTCCTGTGCAAAGAGCTAGCTCCTGTTCCTGTATTTTCTTATCTTAGGAAATAACATTTGGGAGACCAATGAAGGAATGGCATGAATATAGGTCAAGGAGGGAGGAGAATGGGATGACACAAGGGTAATATGGTCGATTTTAACTTCTTCGGGGAAAAATAAGAGGATGTGACAAAAAAAAATTTTTCTTAGAGGACTGTGGGAAAGATTTGGGAAGGTAGAAAATTCTAAGAGTATTAAGGAACAGCATTATCAAATAGGCCTAATAAATTTGAATTGAAGATACCAAAAATGCCTTTGGATGAAGACATGCTCTGGGTGGATCCTTTTGAAGATTTCCTCATTAAAAAGTTTAAAAACATACCAAAGGTATCAGAAGAGAGACAAAAAAAGTTCAAAAACAAGGGTCTGTTTCTAGCTGTCTTCCTGGCTAGCTGTCCTGTGAATTTTTTTTTTTCATGTAACTTAAATGAATCCATATCCAGAGGCTGAGGCGGGTGGATTGCTTGAGGTCAGGAGTTTGAGGCTAGCCTGGGCAACATGTGAAACTGGCTCTACTAAAAATATAAAAATTAGCCAGGTGTGGTGGCAGGTGCCTGTGATCCCAGCTACTTGGGAGGTTGAGGCAGGAGAATTGCTTGAACCTGGGAGGTAGAGGTTGCAGTGAGCCGGGATCGTGCCACTACACTCCAACCTGGGCGACAAAGCAAGACTCTGTCTCAGGAAAAAAAAAAAAAAAAAAGTGAATCCACATCCATTTGTCTTTGAATTGAAATTTTATGTCTCTCATAATAACCATATTTTTATGTTTCTTAAATATAAGCCAACTAAATCTTTATTATTAATGAACATTTAAAAATAGACTGAACCTGACGTTCACATCTAAGCATAGTACCATGTAATGAAAACATGTCTGTATTTCAGAATATTTTCAACCCATCTATGTCTACAACCCTGGTGAGTATGCTCTAATTTTTAAAAATAATCTTGGTTGGGCATGGTGGCTCATGCCTGTAATCCCAGCACTTTGGAAGGCCAAGGTGAATGGATCACTTAAGCCCAGGAGTTTGAGATCAGCCTGGGCAACATGGTGGAACCCCATCTCTACAAAAAATACAAAACTTAGCCAGGCATGGTGGTGTGCACCTGTAAATACAAAACTTAGCCAGGCATGGTGGTGTGCACCTGTAGTCCCAGCTACTTGGGAGACTGAGGCGGGAGGATCGCTTGAGTCTGGGAAGCAGAGGTTGCAGTGAGCCAAGATCACGCCCACTGCATTCCAGCCTGGGTGACAGGGCGAAACCCTGTCTCCAAAGTTAATAATAATAATCCTCACCTGGATGTTTAATAGCTCTTTCTTGTTTAGCAAATGTATTTCTTAGCTGAAGAATATTTGCAGATATAAAGCAGTGACTTGGCCTATATGCGAAGAAAAAAATAAAGAAGCTATTCTAGGGAAATGTACCTTTCTCAAATGAGAGAATTGGCTTTTTGGAGATCTGAACAACATGGAAACTTTCTGGTGAATACGGGTGGTGAGAATGAAGAGCTAGTCATTCTTGACCAGTTCTGGGGGCTTCTTAGGTACAGCTCTGTATTCAGTCATTGAAATGAACCTATGTGACTCCAAATACTCAGATGAAAACACAGAACTCAGCATATTTGCATCTCTCAAATATGCTGATGCTTGATGTTTAATGTTATTTAACTAAAATATGTAGGTGATTAGATGCTCTTAAAGTTTCCACTTAAGGATATATGGCCCAAATCATTTCTTTGCATGTAAGTTCCTTATCATGTGTTTGGTTTACGTGGCTACAGTAAATTTTTCTTTGTTGAAAAGAGAAGAGGTTCCAGCCTTTTTAAAACACGCAGTTTATTTCATGTTTGGGAAGATACTTCCTGTCCTGATAGAAGTGAAGCACTTTACACCTTGAGGACTTCTTAGCAGCCCTTCTTTTTATTGTTCCATTGCAGTCACAGGTTCTACTGATCACTTCACAGGGACTTTAGCTGACTCTTCAACATAGACATTTTCTCGGCTCCTTGAGATCCCTGGTAGACAAGCTATTTGTAATACTTTTCTTAATAGTGGGGGCAGAGAATGTTCCAGCTCATTAGCTAAGGTACATTTAGACTCTGATTGACAACGTAAGTTTAGTAGGGTAGTTTCCTGGACATATCAAATGGTTCTTTATAGTCATATTTCCTGAAAGCAATTTTGCTGTAGCAATAGTAACTGCCAGTTCTTTTGTGTCATGGTTAAAACTGATGAACTTCTTTTTTGTGACTCAGGTGAGAAAACCCAGAAGCTTGAAGACCACGGTAAGACATTTTTATACATTTTGGGGGCTTGACCGGGCGCAGTGGCTCATGCCTGTAATCCCAGCACTTTGGGAGGCCGAGGCGGGCAGATCACGAAGTCGGGAGATTGAGACCATCCTGACCAATATAGTGAAACCCCATCTCTACTAAAAATACAAAAATCAACCGGGCGTGGTGGCGTGTGCCTGTAATCCCAGCTACTTGGGAGGCTGAGGCAGGAGAATCCCTTGAACCAGGGAGTTGGAGGTTGCAGTGAGCTGAGATCGTGCCACAGCACTGTAGCCTGGCAACAGAGCGAGGTTCCGTGTCAAAAAAAAAAAAAAAATTCTGGGGGCTTACATTTTGCAAGATACCTCCCTTTACAGGTGGGAATATTTTCATATTTCTTGAAAATAATTTTGCTGTAGCTGTAGTAACTGCCAATTGTTTTGTTCCAACATTAAAAACTGATGAGCTTATTTTTGTGACTCAGGTGAGAAAAATCAGAAGCTTGAAGACCGTGGTAAGACATTTATATAAATTCTGGGGGCTTACATTTTGTAATATATCTCCCTTTACATGTGGGAACAGGGAAGAATGTCATGGTAAGAAAAGTGGGAGGAAGGCAGAGCTCACCTTAGCTTACTGGTTTGGTATATTAGAGACCCTCCTGGATTTCAGGTAGAATTCTTTAGAAAAATGACATAGCAACTCTGTTTCTCCCGTCTAACAATCTTTAGGTCATCCCACCAAATAGAGGAAGGTGTGGCTAATTTTTCCACACATTCTTGTGACCTCTAGGGTATTGGGCAGGGCATAACAAATAGTGTCGTTTTTTCTAAATTAAAATGACTATTCTTTGTATTTATTTCTATCTCCAGCATATATTGATTAATATATGCCATTAGCTATATCCATTTGATTATTTAGTACATCCAAAGTATATCTCATCCTCAAGTATTTGTTTTTGTTTTATTTTTAATATTACTCAAATGGCCGGGCTGGGTGGCTCACGCCTGTAATCCCAGCACGTTGGGAGGCCAAAGCGGGTGGATCACGAGGTCAGGAGTTCAAGACCAGCCTGTGAAACCCAACCAACATAGTGAAACCCCGTCTCTACTAAAAATACAAACATTAGCCAGGCATGGTGGCACACACCTGTAATCCCAGCTACTCAGGAGGCTGAGGCAGGAGAATCACTTGAACCTGGGAGGTGGAGGTTACAGTGAGCCGAGATCGTGCCACTGCACTCCAGCCTGGGTGACACGATGAGACTCCGTCTTGAAAAAAAAAAATTACTCAGATGTCCTCAAGGGTACCGGGACAGGAACAGTCTCATAAATTACTGGTGAGATTATAAATTGGAACTTTTTTGGAGAGCAATTTAGTAGTATGTATTACTCGTCTTAAAAATGTTTATACCTTTTGACTCGGTTAAAACACTTTTGGATATTTGTCCCAAGGAAATTAGAGATGAACACAAAGATTTGTGTACAAAAATGCTTATCACAGTGTTATGGTAGTGTCAAAAGACAAAAGTACAACAAATTTAAAGAGATCAATTGGCTTTATTTGAGATTCTAGAATTGGACAACACTTTATTCCATAGAATAAGTGTTCCATTGAGCTGAGCACAGAAGTTTGGCTTTAAAGACAAAGAAGAGCCAAAGAAAGTGGAAGCAAAGAAGAGAGTATATTAGTTACTTTTAGACAGAACAGTAGAAAAATAACTGATTAGTTAACATCAGTTTATTTCAGGCTACCTTTTTTGTGTGTAAGGATTGAAGCAGCAGGAACTTCATTTGTTAAGCTGATTGAAGATTTTAAACTGGCCTGTTTGGGAAATTCTGTTATTTCTTTCTCCTAATTTCTTAGAAGGTCAGACAACTTAGTTTAGGTGGTGTGGAACTTTAGCATGGGCGACTCCATGTCAATTTTTAGTCTGGTCTTTTGGGGCCTACTGCAGAAACTTAGTCTAAAGCGATGGTCTCCTATAATTTTTATTTGACAGTAGCAAAAATTTAGAAACAGCCTCAGTGTCCAACCGTTGGGTATGGTTAAATAAAATACTATCTATATCATGAAACACTAGACAACTTATAAATCATGTTTTTGAAACCATCTAAAGATAGAAGAAAGTATTCTTAATACAATGGTAAATAATTGGATATAAAACAGCATATACAGTATGATACCAACTTTTAAAAATGTATATGCATACATATGTATGCATAGCAAAATGATTGAAATACACCAAAAATGTTAAGAATGAGTAGAGTATTTCTGAGATCTGCAGTTTTAAGAGAACTTTAATTTTTAATAATTTTCTGTATTTTTCCAAATTATAACATATTATATAATTAGGAAGCATATTTTATATATTACATATAATGACAATTTTGGGTCAAGGTCTTTGGGTTGAATTTTTAAAAAATGAACAAGAGATGCTTAACCTAGGAGAGATTCTGGGTCACTAGCCTTAGTTCTTATCATCAGTTAGGCTCCAGTGGGTTAAATACCTTCTTTTTGTTACCTTGTCCCCTGCCATTTCTCAAAACGTTCTGAGTTTTCTACTACAGAAGTCAAGTATAAGGTCAAATTAATTTTCAAGCTGATTGCATTTTTTTACTAAATAGTTCTTATTCTCATCCTTAGGAATAAAAAGTCAGGGGCTCACTGTTTCACCTGGTAAATAATCTATTTACTGAGACTAGCTACATGGTTAGGAGACAATGAGGGTTCCTAGGATTAAGAACATTGTGGAGGGCCAGCACAGTGGCTCACACCTATAATCCCAGCTCTTTGGGAGGCGTAAGCAAGAGAATCATAGTGAGTTATGATCGTGTCATTGTACCCCACCACAGCCTGGGTGACACAGTGAGACCCTGTCTCTCAAAAAAGAGAAAAAATATTACTGAGCCTGGAGAGTTTGAGGAATGAGTTAGACTAGAAGAAAGGGACTTCATTTATTGAGTTCTTTTTTTTGCTCCATGCAGTGTACCAAGCACTTTTATGCGGTCTTTCCTTTAATCCTCACTAACTACAAACGTAAGAAGTAAATATTTCTCTTGCAAAATGAGAAACTGAAGTTAGGAGGGATTAAGTAGTCTGCCCAAAGTCACGGAGCTAATAACTATAATTACAATAGAGCTAAACCAAGCAGAAATGTAAAACCAGTACTGTGTCATCCACAAACTGATGTATTAGGACTGCCTCCTGAAGATAAAGTTGGAGAGACAGGGGTTAGATTGTGGAAGTTCTTAAAGTCCAGGCTAAGGAGTTTGGACTCTGTCACATGGAGAATGAAGAGCCACTGAAAGGTGTTGGTGTTTTTGTTGTTGCTGTTTCTTTTTTCTTTCTCCCTGCCTTTTTTTTTTTTTTGAGTTGGAAATGGAGGAAGGATAGACCCAAGAGAGTATTAACAATATAAGATAACTGTTTAATACAAACCAATATTCATTTCTGCCTTTAGGTGTGAAAATCCTTGAACCCACCGAAATACCAGGTAAGACAGCTTTCTATTTATTCCCTGAGCCCAAGAATGAGGTGAGCAGGATTCCCCACGCATTTAAGAGAATACTGTCATGAGACTATTATTCATGAATATTTCCCTTATAGCTGCCTGCCAGTCATCTACAAATATTTAGCTGGGGAAGCGTAGAGAAAGTCCCTTTCCCCCTGTGCATTCATGTGCTCCTGGAACATTGTCTCTGGGGCAGGAAAGTTAGTTCTGCTCTGGATATGGCTGAGGGAAAGGCTCCTGGGATCTGGATGCATCAATCCAGCACGTTCCGGGTTCTACAGCTAAAAATTATTCAATAGAAACCTAACTTTATGCACAAGTTGACTGTTAGTCTTGGCTAACATCTCATTGCCTGTATCTCCAGGTAACAAAACACGGTATTCTCCTGGCATAAACACGCTCAGTGAAGTGCTATGGCAGACGACTCTTCTAATCTTGGTGTGGATTTGTATGAGGGTTTATGTAAGGAGAACTTTTAAATAAAAAGCCAGAAACTATAGTGCATCGGGGCCTTGGGTGCTTGCATCTCTTAAGCTCAGCAGACAAGAGTTTGAAAATTATACTCAGTGGAGCAAACTAAGTCACTGAAAACTTCCTTCTCATTTAGGAATGAAAATTCCAGAACCTTTTCCAGTACCTGGTAAGCAACTGATAGGCATGTCAGAGGGGAAGATGCCAGTTTGGGGAGTATAGTCACCATTAAATATGCACGGGTCTGTTTATGCCTCATAATTATCATCTATTAAATGTAGCCATCAGTAGTCACATGTACATGACAGGAATATTTGTAAGGACTATGAAACCATAGACTCTCAGGGTGCAAGCCACTGTCCAATGCTTAAAATCTTTTCTCCTGAGTTCATGCAGTACTTTGAAAATATTTTTTGCAGGTTTTGTTATTATGGAAATGATGATCTGTTAAAGAAATTAGATATTTGGCATCTTAAAAACTATATCCAGCCACACAGTGCTGAACTTCACGTAACACTGCTGGCAATGGAAGCTGCATGCTGTGTACAGAAACAGCGTTTTCTATTAAATAAAGGCTCAGAGAACATAGGCTCAGAGAAAAGGGTCCAGGACCTCTTTTATATTGACCCAAGTTTGTACTGTTGGATTTATTTGGCCACAACTTTGAAGTGAATCTCTAGTGACACTGACGACACACCTTGTGCATCTACATCTCTTCAGCTCGCTGGTCCTGGGTTTGCACAGTGCCGTCACGGGGGTCTTGCTCATCAAACTGTGGTTATCTGAAAGCAGCCAGTGGGCATGGCGGGAGATGAACGTGAGCTGTGTAGACAGACAGACCTGCTTCAGGAAGCCTCTGTCTCTTTCCTCTCAGTAACTTTATATAAGTTACTTCACTTTTCTATGCCTCTGCTTTCACATCTGTAAAATGAGGAAAGCCTCTGTCTTGCAGGGCTGATTAAAGACCTAATGAGATAAAGTACCCAGCAAAATGAATGGTAGTAGCATAGTAGTAAATAGTAGCTGCCTTTGTTATTATCTGAAAACCTCTTTCTTGTTTAGGAATAAAAATGATACAACTGAATGAAAAACCTGGTACTACATTCTTTACTGGGGGTGGAGGCACCATGGATTCTAAGTCCTTTACCATAATCATTCAGTTAGTTCAGTCTTACGGGGTCTGGGGAAGACATCTGGGCTGTACACTTGCCAATACCCCAGTCTGCAAGCCAGACAGCGAAAACGTTGAGAACTTTCAGTGTGAGCAGCAGGCTGCTATTATGGTTCTCTGGGCCAAACATCAAAAAAGGCACTTGATCTTAAACTGGAACAGTTGGCTTCCAGCTGGGCCTGTCTATTCCAGAATGAGGCAGGCTTCCCAGGGTGAGGGAATCTGTAGACATAGAAATAGTATCATCCAAGAACTGTGAATGAGGACAGTGCAGCGTGCCAATACTGGGACCAGCCATTCTGTGCTCCTCACCACACTCTGTATCGTCCAATAGGCCACTAGATTTTGCTGGGACTACAGTGTATTGTGCCCTCTCCTGGAAAGCTGTGTGTAGCTTTTAAAAAGGTGATGTGAAAACAGTACACAGGAGCTCAATGAGATAAATGTTATTGACACTTGAGAGATGAGAACATGGAACATAAGAAGATTAAGGAATTTATAATAGGCTAGAAAGAGACACCCAGGACTCAAACTTTTCAAGCTTTGTTCACTTTGTGCTACACTTGTCTTCCAAACAGATTTAGTTATCCACCTCTATCTTGGGCACCTAGAATTGCTATTTGGCTTCAAAGCTGTTAAAATATGGTAATATCATAATATTTCAATGCTAGGCACACACTTGGTAGTACAGATGGTCTCCAAGTTACAATGGTTCTGTAAGAATTAAAGAAAGAGGAAAGAAACACGAAAAGGTGGCTTGCCAGTTAGGACAGATCTATTTTAGAGAAAACCTGAGAGGCGCCTTCTGGCCGAGTGAGGTTAGAGGCCCACTTTTTTACAGACTAAGAGTTTTTAAGGATTCAGGGTGGGAGAGTTTATCAGAGGCTTGGACTGCTTCTGTGTCACTTGGTTGTGCTTATCTGGGAGGGAGAGTTGTGTGTCTGTTCCCATACTACATCGTTCTGCAGCTGCAGGCATATTCCCCAAGTCTGCTTTTAGCTTCCCTAACTTAGTGCACCTGAAGGGAAAGGAATGTGCTTATTAAGGCCCACCGTTTCACTGGGGCCCATTGTATGAGGGTGAAGTTTGGGAGTTACTCAAGAGACTTTCCCCTCACCTCCCTTTGTGCCCTAGCTGTTTTATCTGTGTTCTACTGTTTGCTCCTTCTGTCTGCTTGTAGTTAGAAGAGGTGATTTCCTTGAAATGCATGAGGCTAGAAAGGGAGCTGGAATTTAAAGTGGCGGTGTTTGTCCAAGATGATGGTGCTCCTGCTCTATCAGGTTCAACTTAGGATTTTTTGACTTTGCAATGGTCTGAAAGCCATACACATTCAGTAAAAACCATACTTCAAGTACCCATACCATTCTCTTTTTCACTTTCTGTACAATATTCGATAGATTACATGAGACATTCTATATTTTATTATAAAATAAGTTTATGTTAGCTGATTTTGCCCAACTGCAGGCTCATGTAACTGTTCTGAGCACGTTTAAGGTAGGCTGGGTTAAGCCATGATGTTCTGTAGGTTGGGTGAGTTAAATGCATTTTTGACTTACGGTATTTTCAACTTGCATTGGATTTATTGAGACACAACCCCACCATAAGTCGAGAAGCATCTGTATAGCATAGTAATTCAGAGCAAATTTGAAATTTGATATTTCTAGCACCAATTACCTCCGTGATTTTATGCATGGCATTCCTCAAAACATTGCATGAATGTTTTAAGGAATATCTGTGAAATATGGATAATTATACCTGGCTAATAAGACTAAGAAGTAAAGGTGACAGTGTACATAAAGCATTTGCACAATGCATGGCACACAGTAAACACTCAATGAATACTAGGTATTAATGTACTTGGGAATCTAAGTTCAATATGTAGAAAATACTTTTTTGTAAACAAAATTTTAACTTTTATTTTAATGTAAACACATATTGATGGTAAAAAAAAAAATTCAAAGAGCACAGATGAGAACAAATTAAACCCTTCCCCTAACCCCACACATACCCGTAAACCTATTACCCTGCCCCTCAGACCCACTCCCAGAGATAACCGAGTTTGCTTAATTTTTAATCAGATCTTTCTTTTCTGGATAAACAGATGTACAATATAACTAACTCAAAATCTCTTTATATTTTAGAAGATAAAAGTCAAGGAAATATCAACAATCCTAGTAAGAAATATATCATTTCCTCAGTTGATGAATGCCTGCTTCTGTAATATAGAAAAAGTGAGAAATTTATTTTTCCTCAATAAAGGGAACAAAGTTGCAAGGGTCTCAGGCATCTTAACAACAGAGTAGAATGTCACATCCAAAAGCTTGTGTGTGCATGTGTGTGTTGGGGACAGTATAGCTTTGTTTCTTCAATAATCATTTTCCATTGTACCTAGAGTCTCTACTCTTTAGAACAGTGGTTCTCACCAGTCTGGAGACTGGGAGCAAAATATAAAATAAAAAAGAAAATATATATTAAAAAAGAAAGAACAGTGGTTCTCAACCCAATTCTCCCTTTTTATAACAGTATTTTATAAAGTCCTTATATTATCCCGAAAGAAGATCCATAGATAAGATGCACTCGTACCCATAAAAATCAACATCATGTCTAAAGTAGACAGACGTTTACATTTATTTATGCAAATAAATTTGGGAGTGGAAGCTGCTCTATACAGAAAGTATAAGAAAATGAAGAAATACAGTAGATACTAAATAAAAACTGATGTTTAATGTTTATCAAAACTATTAAAAATATTTATACATAAAACTGCTTTAGGTTCTGAGTTTGATTATTTTAAATAGGTTTTAACTTACATGTATGTCTAGCAGTCCATTTGAAAGTCGTGCAGGAAGTTGGTCAAATTTCATGGTCCAGGAATAGAGCACTGCAGGATATCTAGCCCTCTACCTCCACTCCACTGTTAGCAGTTATTTTAAAAAAAAAAAAAAAATACTCTTGACAATTGTCCAAACTGCCTCTTGGGGCAATGCTGCCCCCCTGAGAACCACTGGTCTGTGGTAACATACAGTCATGCATTGCTTAACAATGGGGATATGTTCTGATTAATGTGTTAAGTGATTTCATCATTGTGCAAACATCCTAGTGTGTACTTACCCAACCCTAGATGGTACAGCCTGCTACACATGTAGGCTACATGGTATGGCCTACTGCTCCTAGGCTATAAACCTTTACAGCATGTTACTGTACTGAGTACTGTAGGCAGCGGTAACACAATGGTAAGTATCTGTGTATCTAAACATAGAAAAGTTACGGTAAAAATATAAAAGATTAAAAAATGGTACAGGTATATAGGGCACTTAGCATGAATGGAGCTTGCAGGCGGAGAAGTTGCTCTGGGTGGTAAGTGTTGAGCGAATGTGAAGGCCTGGGACACTACTGTACACTCCTGTAGACTTTATACATACTGTACAGAGGCTACACTAAATTCACAACAGATTTTCCTTCAACAGTCAATTAACCATAGCTTAATGTAACTGTTTTACTTTATAAACTTAATTTTAACCTCTTGACTCTTTCGTGATAACTTAGCTTAAAACACACGTTGTACAGTAGTACAAAAATATTTTTTCTTTATATCCTATTCTGTAAAGCTTTTTTAATCACCTTTTTTTTATCACCTTTTTTTAACTTTTTAAACTTTTGTTAACTAAGACACAAACATTTACATTAGCCCAGGCCTGTATAGGGTCAGGATCATCAGTGTCACTGTCTTGCACCTCCACATCTTGTTCCACTGGAAGGTCTTCAGGGGCAGTAACATGCATGGAACTGTCATCTCCTATGATAGTGCCTTCTGGGGTTTCTCCTGAAGGACCTGCCTCAGGCTGTTTTATAGTTAACGTTTTTTAATAAGTAGAAGGAGTACAGTCTAAAATAATGATTAAAAGTATAGTAACTACATAAAACAGTAACATAGTTGTTTATTATCAAATGTTATGTATTGTACATAATTGTATGTGCTATACAGTTATACAACTGGCCATGCAGCATCACCCCAAACAATATGTTACGACGGCTACGATGTTGCTAGGCAGTAGGAAATTTTCAGCTCTATTATAATCTTATGGGATCTCTGTCATACATGTGGTCTGTCATTGACGGAAACATCGTTTATGTGTTGCATGACTGTACTAATGCATGTGTGCATCTGCCTATCCATTTCTCCATGTGTATACATCTAACTGCATGTTTGTAACTATGGCAAGTACATTGATACTATGAAGCCTTTTACAAATCTTACTGGCTATTTTTCTTGGTTTTATTTATGATATCTGAGTGGTGATCCCATTTGGATACTTCCAGTCAACGCTTCCCTGTAGTTTAAACAAAAACAGTTTAGGGCAGCGTGAAACAGTTTATCCTATGGATGGACTCCACTGCTCCTCTCCACTAGTTCAAATGAAAGGGAAGGAGTTGGCTGGGCACGGTGGCTCAAGCCTGTAATCCCAGCACTTTGGGAGGCCGAGACGGGCGTATCACGAGGTCAGGAGATCGAGAGCATCCTGGCTAACACGGTGAAACCCCGTCTCTACTAAAAAATACAAAAAACTAGTCGGGCGAGGTGGCGGGCACCTGTAGTCCCAGCTACTCGGGAGGCTGAGGCAGAATGGCGTAAACCCAGGAGGCAGAGCTTGCAGTGAGCTGAGATCCGGCCACTGCACTCCAGCCTGGGCAACAGAGCGAGAGACTCCGTCTCAAAAAAAAAAAAAAAAAGAAAGGGAAGGAGTTTCTCCAGTAGTGTATGTATGGAGGGAAAAACATTTTTAAAAATCATCTTGCAGAGATTAGTGTTTAAAAAACAATGCAGCTATAGTTAGCCCTCTGTATCCTCTGGGATTCAACCAACTGTGGATCGAAAATATTTTTGGGAAAAAAATAATACAAATTAAAAATCCCATACAGTATAACAAATACTTGCATATCATTTACATCGTATTAGGTATTATAAGAAATGTAGAGAGGGTATAAGGTATACAGGAGTATGTGTGTAGGTGTATGCAAATACTGTGTAGCTATTTTATTTATTTATGCTATTTTATATAAGGGACCTGAGCATCTGTGGATTTTGGTATCCTCAGGGATTCTAGAACAAGTCCCCAAAGGATACTGAGGGATGACTGTATATCCAGTTGTATGTTGGTGGTTATCTTGTTTGAAATAGAAGAGACACATAGAAAATGGAAATAGAAAAATTGCTAAAAAATATACTAGAGAACTTGAACAACAGAAAATCATTATATTGGCTATACAGAAATGTAAAAGCATGTGAAATCCTAGATAAAACCTAGCGTAGCAAACCTTGATGATATATAGTTGACCCTTGAACAACACAGGTTTGAACTGCATGGGTCCACTTAATACATGGATTTTCAATAAATATATTGGAAATTTTTTTGGAGATTTGCATCCATTTGAAGAAACTTGCAGACAAACTGCATGGCCTAGAAATATATATGTCATGAATGCATAAAATATATGTAGATACTAGTCTTTTTATCATTTACTACCATAAAACATACACAAATCTATTGTAAAATGTTAGTATTTATCCAAATTTGTGCACACAGACCGTATGCGGCACCATTCAAAGTCAAAAGAAACGTAAATGTAAAGATGTGGTATTAAAACTTAACTGCATAAAATTAACTATAGTACATACTGTATCATTGTAATCATTTCATGGCCACCTCCTGTTGCTATTGCAGTGAGTTCAAGTGTTTCGAGTATCCTCTTAAAACACCATGTGTTGCTAAACATCTCCGAGGAGTTCATCTCCAGTAAATTGCACATCACAGTAAAAAGTGATCTCTCACAGTTCTTGTGTATTTTTTGTCATGTTTGGTGCAATACTGAAAACCTTGAATAACACCATGGGACTCAAAGGAAGTGCTACTAGTGATGCCATAAGTCTCACAAGCAGAGAGAAGTCATGACATTACAAGAAGAAGTTGAATTGCTTGGTATGTAGATTCAGGTCTGCAGCCGCAGTTGCCAGCCATTTCAGACAGATAAGTCATCTTATAAACAGATTGTAAACTTAGGGTATTAGTAAATACAGTACAGTACTGTAAATGTTTTCTCTTCCTTATGATTTTAATATTTTCTTTTGTCTATTTTATTGTAAAAATACAGCATATTTTTATTTATTTATTTATTTATTTAGAGACAGAGTCTCACTCTGTCGCCCAGGCTAGAGTGCAGTGGTGTGATCTCGGCTCACTGCAAGCTCTGCCACCCGGGTTCATGCCATTCTCCTGCCTCAGCCTCCCGAATAGCTGGGACTACAGGCACCCACCACCTCGCCCGGCTAATTTTTTGTACATTTAGTACAGACAGGGTTTCACCGTGTTAGCCAGGATGGTCTCAATCTCCTGACCTCGTGATCCGCCCGCCTTGGCCTCCCAAAGTGCTGGGATTACAGGCGTGAGCCACCACGCCTGGCCAAAATACAGTATAATACATATACAAAATATGTGCTAAACCACTATTTTTTTCTTTTTAAAAATAGAGATGGGCTCTCGCTATGTTGCCCAGGCTCAAACTCCTGGTCTCAAGCGATCCTCCTGCCTTGGCCTCTTAAAATGCTGGGATTACAGGTGTAAGCCACCATGCCCCAACCAGAATACAGTATATAATACATATAAAGTATGTTAATCAACTATTTCTATTACCAGTAAGGCTTCCAGTCAATGGTAGGCTATTAGTAGTTAAGTTTTTGGGAATCAGGTTACATGTAGGTTTTCATTGTGTGGAGGTTGGCACTCCAACACCCATATTAAGGGTCAACTGCATATGGAAATACAGCCTGAAATCTGTAGTGAATTACACTTATTTGAAAATTGCTTTTGGCTGGAAGTATTTCAGGTAAGTTTCTAATTGAACTTTAGTGTCACTGTTTACATATTGAGGTTATATTGTATAGGTGGTGATACTTGATGTAAAAAATGATGTGTCGGTGACTGTGTATTCTCGTTAACAGCTCCAGGTCCAGTTCCTGTTCCAGGTCCCAAAAGCCATCCTTCTGCATCCTTGGGCAAAATGCTGCTTCCAGAGTTTGGGATGGTCATCATTTTAATCAGTGTTTCTGCTATAAATCTCTTTGTTGCTCTGTAGTTTC